AAAGGAAAACTGCTGTGGGATGTTCTGTGTGTCAAGTGTGTTGCTCTGATTGGTTAGTAAATAAAACACTGATTGGCCAGTGGCCAGGCAGGAAGTATAGGCGGGACAAGGAGAGAGGAGAATTCTGGGAAGCGGAAGGCTGAGAGAGACACGCCAGCCACCGCCATGATAAGCAGCATGTGAAGATGCCGGTAAGCCATGAGCCACGTGGCAAGGTATAGATTTATAGAAATGGATTAGTTTAAGATATAAGAACAGTTAGCAAGAAGCCTGCCACGGCCATACAGTTTGTAAGCAATATAAGTCTCTGTGTTTACTTGGTTGGGTCTGAATGGCTGTGGGACTGTCGGGTGAGAGAGATTTGTCCTGACTGTGGGCCAGGCAGGAAAACTCTAGTTACAGAAAACATTTAATTAGGGATGGCTTACAGTTCAGAGGTTTAGTCCATTATCATCATGGCAGGAAGCAAGGCAGCATGCAGGCAGATGTGGCACTGGAGAAGGAGCTAAGATTTCTACATCTTGATCCACAGACACCAGGAACGAGACTGTGTGCCACACTGGGCATAGCTTGAGCATACAAGATGTCAAAGTCCGTCTCCACAATGACACACTTCCTCCAACAAGGTCATAACTACTCCAACAAGGCCACACCTCCTAATAGTGCCACTCCCTATGGGCTAAGCATTCAAACACATGAGTCTGTGGGGGCCATTCCTATTCAGACCAACACAAGAACTCACTGGGTTTTGTAGTACTGGGGATGAAAGTCAGGGTACCACACATGCTGGGCAAGGGGTCTGCCATTGTGTGTGGGGACCTGCCCCACCGGGAACTTAGGTCACCTGTGAAGAGGTGGCCTGGAACTGAGGAAAGGCAAGTGCTCGCCTGTTTCTCAGCCTCCCTCTTAACCGGAGACAATCAGACGCAGCGGGGAGTCAAGTCAAGCAAGAACTCGTTTATTGATAGGCAGTAAGCCTCTTTTATACCAGAAAACCTCAGAACCCTAGGAGGGGGTAAAGGAACAAACCAATCATTTTAAAGGGCACCCTATTTACAAGTTGTTTATGTCCTGACACTATCTCTTGTTTTTTAGTATCTTATCTTACCATAAATAACTTGAGCTAACTTCCTTTCTCACCATTTGTATCCACTCTCTGCATAAACACCTTAAAGCTTAAGCTCTATTTATCTGAATGTCTCTCGGCACCCACTTTGCAGCCCATGTATCCCCCACAATTGTGCAACACCCTGGCCCTCTTTTTATCTTTTGTTTTGAGACAGAGTCTCACTAAATTGCTCAGGTAGGCTTTAAGTTCATGTTCTAGCTTAAGCTTGCTTTAATTTTTTTTTTTTTTTGGTTTTTTCGAGACAGGGTTTCTCTGTGTAGCTTTGTGCCTCTCCTGGAACTCACTTGGTAGCCCAGGCTGGCCTCGAACTCACAGAGATCCGCCTGGCTCTGCCTCCCGAGTGCTGGGATTAAAGGCGTGCGCCACCACCGCCCGGCATGCTTGCTTTAATTTTATGGTCCCTCCTCCTCAGCCTCCAGAGCTGCTAGGATTGTAGGCCTGCACCATCAGGTCTGGCACACGGTTTTGTTTTGGATTTGCTGACACGGCTGCTATCTCTTGCTTCTCTGCTTCCCAGCCTTGACTTTAATTTAATTTGTGTGTATGTGTAGGGGGGTGTTTGACCTGTATGTACTTCTGTGCACCAAGTGCATGAAATGCCTGAGGAGGCCAGAATAAGGTGCTGAGTCTCCTGGAACTGGAGTTACATGTCAGCTGCCATGTAGGTGCTGAGGAAATCCACCCCAGATGGAAGAGTAGCCAGTGATCTTAACCACTGAGGGATCTCTCCAGCCCCCAGCTTGATTTTAAAAACTCTCAGGGGTTGGATGAGGAGTTTACATTGAGGGTGTTTTGCTTGAGATTCCATTTAAGCAGCTTCTTAGAGTCGCTAAACTCATGTTCTGCTTGATGCTTAGTCTGTTTATAGTGTGCTACTTTCAGTGTGAAATTCTTTTAGTTCATTCAACAAATATTTACAAAGTACTTACAATGACCCAGGTGCTGTTGTATGTAAGGGCAGCAGACAAAAGATAAGGACCATGGGGGAGTTTTTGTTTAATGGAATGTTGGATTCAAAATGTGGCCGGTTGATTGCAGAGGACTGAGGCTCAGAATGTTTCTCGTGGCTACTCATCATTTCTCTTGTCCACCATTATTTCAGCTGCTCAGTGTAGTCTCCTACATACAGGACGCTCCATCCTGTAGTGGCATCTGTCATTCAGGGCCACGCAACTCCTTCAAACAGCTTCTCTTTATTCTGATACTTCTGACATTCTGTGCCCTGCTTTCTTGTAGACTCCACAAGTGCTGCATTCTCCAAAGCCTCCCTCCCCACCCCCACCCTCCGAGACTGGTCATGTGACATGGGCTCTGGCTCCTTTAGAGACTGGGCATGACAGTAGACAACCGGAGGAAACAGGGATGTGTGTTGGAGCTTTCTCCCAGTGATGGCAGACATGGGAGCAGCTAGCTCTTCTAGGGAGGCCGAGATAGAGTGTCTACAGTCTAGTCCTGAATGGGCATGGTACCTGGCGGTGGCCCAGCAACAGCCATGTTGGAGCTGTATCATGGCGTATCACTCTTACAGTGGGGCTTTTGGCTGTAGAGTTTCTAGACCTTCCACTACATGGGTCCCGGAGATTGAATTCTGGTTATCAGGCTTGGTGGCAGTTGCCTTTAGCCACTGAGCCATCTCTCTGGGCCCTGGCAGTAGGATCTCTAAATTGGCTCCTCTCATCCTCCCCATGTGTCTTTGAGTTAATTAAGATCCTTAATAATCACCCTCTGCTTATCTGACTGAAAGAAAACCCCAGGACTGTAAACAAGAACACTGTAAGATGTATTGCTTAGATACAAACTCTCGAATTTTGATAGAAGAGCTGCTTGGACCATAGAATTAAATTTCCATGCACTCTGTTTCCCATCCAGATGTAAATCTAGGGTCAAGGCCTGTGAGCTAGGATTGCTAGCTCAGGGTGCATCAGCCCAGACTTCACACGGGACTGGTGAGCCAAAGGAGGGTATGAGAGAGGCTCTCAAATGGGAGTTTCATCAGCTACTGTGCGGGTAGGGATGGTGTAGGCCCCATGGATTCGGCAGTCAACTGCAGTGCAGCGTCCTCATGGGATTGGTCCTGCTCTCTGATCTGGGCTGTGGCTATTACTCTTGCTTGGTTTCTGAGTTCAGTTCTCCAAGCTGCCATGGATATTATCATTGTCACCAAAGACAGGTCTTACTCTTTATCCCCCCACCATCCCCACCCCCCGCTCTCTTTCTATGCTATCATCTGAGTCTCACTGTGCTTTCTGGAACTTCAGGTGCATCATTAGTAAAACCCACCATGCCCTTGACCTTTCTCCTCTCCCTTCCCCTCCTGCCCCTCCCTCCCCACTCCATTTCTCTTATTGCCTGGCCTGTGGCTCCTACCTAAGGAACCTGCTTCCACTGAGGTCCCCTCCAGTGCTCTGCTGTTTTCTTCTCTCTGTGTGTCCCCAGGGATGAGTGCCTGGATCCTTACCCTTGCTCCCAGACCCCTCAAGACACAGACATTAATATCACATCATCAGACTCTACCAACTCAGCTGTTACTTTTCTCTGACGTGGCTCCCCCTGATCTCCCAGAAGCCTACGGAAGCTCCCTTCTCCTCCCAGGCCCCAGAACCCTCTCTCTCTCAGCCAGTGCCTTTTCTTTCCTTGTTTCCCTGAGGAAACTGACATTCCACTGGCTCCCAGGACTCATCAACCCACATACGTCCACACTGCAGATTTCCTCATTTTCTTCCTATACTGTGAGCATAACCTTTGCTCAAGTCCAAGGCTAGACCTTCCAGTGTGCTGGAGCTGGCACTCGGGAGCACACAGACAGTCCTCTCAGTTGCCTCCTTCTGGGATTAGCAACCCCCCACCCGATAGCTCTGTCAGGAACTGCAAAGCTCCTGCCTCAGCCTCTTGAAACTTTAACATTGAAAGGGGAATGTTTCAAGACATATAGTGAAAGGACACTTGGAAATGAGAGGAACGCACTGACAGCCATCCAGATGGCTGAAGTCCAAGCTTGTATTTCAACTGCATAGCAGCCTGTGATTTGCCCGCTTCTTGCATTAGTTGAGTTCCCGGCTCTGGCCGAGGAGACAGGAGACGTCAAGTGCTAGGAAGACTGCAAGAAGAAAGCTGCTTCGATCAGCCCTAGCTACAAAACCCATAACCTTCTTGCCTGCAGGTTACCCATGATGATCTTCCCACCTACCATCCCTTCCTGCCTCCAGACCTGAGCCATCATCAGATCCCCTCATGCCCCAGCAGACAGGTTCCAAGGAGGCACAAAATAGCCCCCAAATCTACAAGATTCTGCTTGCTTCTGTCTATAGTCAGATGAGTATGTCTGTGCACAGATTCCTGTACTCTCAGACCAGGGAGATTTGACTGGTATTTAGGAAACAAAAGGTGTGTTTTCTACTTTGGGGGTAGTCTGTATGTTTGAACAGCTTCATATGGGGCTGGTGAGGTGGCTCAGCTGATAAAGAGGCTTGCCGCGAAGCAGGACTTCCTAAGTTCCATATCTGGGACCCACATGGTGAAAGAGACTCCTGAAAGTTGTCCTCTGATCCCCTACGTGAGCACTGTGGCCATGCACATGTGCACACATGACCACACACAACACTGATGGCTTTTGTGAAGATGTGATAGCAGTAAGCCGCACAGATGATGGAAGACTGGCTATCTGTCTGTGTGTTCTGCTCCCCTTCCTGCTGACACAGAAAGAGCCCCATGGAGCTTTCTCCCCCAAGGCTGAGAAGCATCCTGGTCACCACTGGGGTGGTGAGAAGTACTTTGGCCTTCGGGTGTTGAGATTTAAGCTAAGGGAATGCTATGCTCTGCCTAAGTGTTCCTTCAAGCTCCATGCTTTAAAACTGTGGTCCCCAGCCTTGGGGGGGGGGCGTCCTGAGAAGTGGTGGAAACTTTTGAAAAGTAGAGCCTAGTAGAAGGGAGTTAGGTGACTGAGGTGTGAACATGGAGAGCATATTGGACAATGGCCCCTTCCTGCTTCTCTCTTGGCCTCTCAGACTCCAAGGTGAGCAGTTTCCTCCACCACAGGCTCCAAAGCAACAAAGCCAACCAACCAACCATGGACTGGTTGTGAACCAAAATTAACCTTTCTTTCTTATGTGTTTTCTTCAGGTATTTTATCGCAGTAACAGAAGTCTGACTAATAGGAAATTTCGTAGTCGATGGCATGATAAAGTCATCAATTGGCTAATGGAAGACCTTGGGATGAGTTTCCTTCCCATTCAAAGTACTGAGTAATGCCTATTCCACATCACTGGCGTCACTAGGATTCTGACCCATCTAAGAACGTATAGAACACTGAGGGAATGAAAGTTTTGTAGAGAGAAGGTCATTAATAACAAACTAGAAAAAGAAGCAATACTCAATTGGGGAATTTACATAAATAAGGCCCTGGAACTCCACACTTTTAGCTTTGGAATGCTGTGAGCTTATTCAGACTGTTCTTATTTGTACTGGGAAATCTAATGGCCCTGGTCTGCATGACCATGGTCTGCATGGCCCTGGTCTGCATGGCTCTGGTCTGCATATCCCTGGTCTGCATGGTTCTGGTCTGCATGGCCCTGGTCTGCATGGCCCTGGTCTGATGACCTTGGTTTGCATGGTTCTGGTCTGCATGGCCCTGGTCTGCATGATCTTTACCTACATTGCTGCTATCACATAACTGACAATTGCCCACACAGCAGCTTACACTAACTTTCTAGGTCTATACACCAGCCAGCCTGACTGTTCTCCTTCATAGGCCATAAATGACTTGCAAGAAACTGTACCAAAACTCACCCTAATGAAGTAGTGCTTTTCCCGAGTGGAGATCCTGTGCATGTCACCCTGTGCTGTAGATGCTGTTGTGGCTACTGCCTCGTCCACCATCTTCCCAAAATGTACTCCCAAGGTTAGAATGAGCACTCCAGTTTGTCTGAGGGATGTTTGTTGGAGTTCAGCATTTTCTTCATTACTTCTGGACCAAGGAATTCACTTCACAACCACAGAAGCAAAGAGAAGCATAGAGAATGCTGCTTGCTGGCTGGGGCAGGTTCATACTCAGTTTTCTTATACAGTTCATAATCACCACTTGCCTGGGATATGGTGCCACCTACAGAAGGGTGGACCCTCCTACACCAATGAACAATCAAGACAATTCCCAAAGTGCACACACACACACACACACACACACACACACACACACACACACACACACACACACGCCAATCTGATGTAGGCAATCTCTCCAGTGAGACTCTCTTCCCAGATCATTTTAGTTTGTGTCAAGGTAACAGTTAGAGCTATCTAGGAAACTGGGCCCACACTTTAACCCCAGCACTCCAGAGGCAGAGTGGAGGCAGGCCATCTAGGGCTGCATAGTGAGATACTGCCTCATAAAACGAAAACAAACAAAAAGCCAACAACCACCTCTCAGAACCCTAACCTGTCTAGAACGGTGGTGGGGGTAGGGGGCTCACAAGTCAAGAGCTTTCTCCTTTGTACTTTCTCCCTCCTGCCTACTCTGGCACCCTCCTGGGCTGCTCTGTGTAGCACACTGTGCCTCTTATGTGCAGGGATCTGTGAGTATACACTACTGTCTTGATGGTGGTCATTCCCGTATCTGTATCTGACCACACTTAATTCAAACAATTCTGAGTGAGTTTTTAGAACAAGCAGGGTTGAGTGGTTTTTGACGTGAGGCTGTGGAAGGCTGTGTGTGTTTCCACACACAGGGAAAGCTCTCATGGGAGGGGGTCCCCAGAATTTTAGTCCTTTTACATATTTTTAGGACCTCCCCATTGTTGAAGTTACAAAGCCCACCTTCTACCCAAGAGTCCCCAGCACAGACTCTTGCCTCATCAGCCTTCTTCACATCCAGTTCATGGGCACACAGTTAATCAGATGCATTTATCCTGACCTTTGTGTGAGGAGCCAGCAACACGAATAACCAGGGAGGGAGGAGAATTGATTGTGGCAGCAGCGGCGGCAGCAGCAATGGCTGATTTCCAGGGACAGCGGAGAGAGCAGTACCAGCAATGCCTTGAGTTTGGATGCCTGGCTCTACAGCCCACCCACCACACAGGCCACGGGGCTGCTCTGAGCTGAAGCAGAGCTGATGACTCCTGTGTTCCCACCTGACTTCCAAGCAGGCCCACCAGTTTTGTAAGTGCTGCTGAGAGCTGCCCATTGGCTTTATCTTCTGCTTTACTTAAATGATGGTTGTTTCTATTGCTTATAGCCGAGGATCTTGACAGATATAGTCTGATACTTTCTTTTCCTCCTTCCTCCTTCCTTCCTCCTCCTTCCTCTTTTCTTTCTCTCTCCATCTCTTCCTCTTCCTCCTTCCTTCCATCTCTGCTTCTTTCCTTTTCCTCTCCTTCCCATCTTCCAGTTTCCAGATGAAGAAGACATGCAGCCAGTTTTATTTTTGCGTATGCTGAGATGTTGTAGTAACATTTTTAATCATGGTTAGTGAGACTATGAGTGTTTCCTGATTTTAGCAATCAAATGCTCACCAATAAATGTAATGCATGCCATTGTATTTGTACAAACATCACAGACACTCTCACTCTTGGAGGCAACTCAGGGTGCTTAAACTAACTCATGTAGTCCTCATAGAAAGCCTATGGATGGGCACTACCATTTACAGCCCCCTTTACTTGTGAGGAAACTGAGGCACAACCACCTTTTGAGACTTGCCTGAGGTCACAAAGTCATGACTGAGAAGAACTGGAAATCGAACTCAGCAGCCCATACCCATTAAAGACAGAAAGCCGAGAGAACCAGCAGTTCAATGGGGAGGCAGAGCTTGGAGTGACTGAGATGGGAGGCACTGAGGGGAAGGGGCAGTGAGGAAGGAGAGGTGAAGGCATGAGGAATCCTGGGGCCACTAAATGCATGGGGGTGCCGTGGAGATCACAGGCCACTGGGTGCACAACCCTGGCTGTGAAACCCTACAAATCGTAAAGGCATTGTCAGCTTATAGATTTGGAGCATGGCATCCTGGCATCTCTAGAAGATAAGAAATCGAGGTCCCTGGCAAGGAGAGTAAGAAGACATGCCTAAAGCCAAAGCAGGCAGGGTCTGTCCCTGGCATCCTCAGACAATTGTTGGAGTCGGGGGAAGGGGGCACGGTATTTTGCAGGTAAGAAAGGACGGCAGCAACTGAGGACGGAGGAAACTGTCAGCTGGATATTTCACGGCTCACTCCTATTTTGCTGACAACTGTACATTGTTATGACAGATAGACCCACAACTCTGGAGGACCTCATTTGAGGTGCATTCAGGATCCAAGCACACTCCGGGTGACAGTCCTGGAGCCCTACTAGGGTCCTTCAGAACCGGGAGCAAGCCATCATAATAATTGGCTGAACAGAAGCCAGAGCTGCGTCTGTCTGTGCTGGACACAAAGTGAATAGTCATAGACTCTTCCTCCTCCTTTGTGTGTGTGTGTGTGTGTGTGTGTGTGTGAGAGAGAGAGAGAGAGAGAGAGAGAGAGAGAGAGAGATGGAAGCACAGTGTGAGAGCACAGCATGAGCCTGCTTTCTTGCTTTGCCTGTGGTCTCTCCCGGGGGCAGGCTTGGACTTCACCTGCAGAAGCTCTAGAGCTGGTAGCTTTCCAAGATAGCCTCTTCAGTGGCACCTGCATGAAGCCTTCACCGTCTCCTGGAGTTGCATAGCCCCAGAAACACTGACCACTCTGTTGAACTTGGCCACCCACTCCCAGGAGGCTAGCCCGAGTCTCTCATCCCAACAGTGCCTCCTGAAACCTCTGGTTTCTGCACCTGTGCACGCATGAGCTGAAGCAACTGAGCTCCATTCCGCACCTGTAACTCTGCTTCTGAGGGACCCTCGTCAGCTACCCACAGTCTCCCAGCCGACTGGTTCCCTGCATGCGCTGAGTGGCCTGTCTTCTTCTATGACCACAGGTAAGTAAGCAAGTTATTCCTAAGGCTGAGACTAGGGGTGCTGAGCATGCTGGGGAGACTGGGTGTGAGCTCAGAAGGAAGTTAGCAACTTATGAGCACTTGGTCATATCAGAATGTTGGAAGTCACCTGCTGCTGGGCAGAATTCAGCCTCCTGGTTGACCCTGCTGGACCACTTCAGAACTCTGTGAAAGCAATGCTTCTGAGTGGCGGGGGCTACTCCTGTCCTGTAGTAGTGTCTGCTCCTGTGCCCTTATCACTACCATTCTCTTGTTCCTTCATTTATTCACTTGGCAAATATTCTACACACTTAGGTGAATTAGACTAACAGACAGCGGGAGGGGTTTACTGACATGAAAGGTAGCAAGTCCTCATGGCTTGTGTGGATCAGGGCTGGAGTTGGTAGACAGGGAACTGCATCAGCTGATGAAGGTACGTGACCTTCAAGATTCCACCTGACCTTGAGAGATTGAGCTCCTGTGATGAGCAGGTCACTGAGCAGAGATGCCATGGAAGCAGAGTGCACTCCCCATCTCAGGAGCACGGTAGTGGATATTATTTGGAAAAATGAACCATCGGTAACATTCCTCTGATCCGGGGGGTCTCTTTGGTGGGGAACTGGGACTGCCTGTCCAGTGCTGCATGAGGGGTTCCTGGACGGCACTCAGGATGGGGAGTTAAGCCTGTTAAGTCTGGGGGAAGAAGGAAGAAGCAGTGCTTCTGGAAAGGACAGACTGCATTCCGAGGAGTGAGCAGCTAAGAGGCACTGCAGTAGGAAGGTGGACAGAGAAGAGGGTCCGAGTCACACTGGCTTCAGTGGAACCGGACCTAGGTAGATGAGCAAGGCTGTAAAGGGTGCCGGGGCTGTGGAGGATGTGCTAGACCCTGGTGAGCATCACCCCAATGGGAACATTCACCCCCGAGCCTTTTACGCATGAACAGTTTTTGTTTGTGTGTTGGTTTGCATGGACATCGTTTACCCGGACTTAATACATAGTGACATCGCTCCACTGTCATCCTTATCCCAGAACTGCTAATCCAGCGATGCTGGGGCTCACAGTTCAGAGCCTCTCACTTTAAATTATCTTTGTAACTAGTGCCGGAAGCTTCCTCTAATTACCGCTGATTACCTGGAACAATTTCTCCGTTTGGTTTCCGGTGACAGATTAATGAAATGATCACAGTGGGCTGATTACAAAAGGTGGAAATCTGAGGCAAGTCAAACACATCCTCTGGAGCCAACTGCATCTCGTTTACACGGTGCTCCAGACAGCCCTTAACAGACATCTCTCCCTGGATCTCTAAACAGCCCAACTTCAGCATGCCTGCACCCCTGGCCTCATTAACAGCAGGAAGCAGATCTTTATTCTGTGTGGTGCATGCAGACCATAACCTTGGAATTTGCAGCCTTTGGTATCATTTGAAAGGAAGAGTCAGTGACCTGCATACAGAGGAATATTCTAGAACTTTGGATCCAGGTGATCCCAGCTTGGTAATGAGCACCTCTTCTCTCACAGACCCTAATCTTAATGGTGGCTTGGCAATGATGGTCATAGTGTTGGTGTTTCTAGAACACAGCCAAGTATTGACTGAGCTCTTGCATAGTCACCCATGTGGTTGATGCCATCACCGTATAATTTGGAAGCAGAGAGCTCAAGCTTGCTCCCAGTCTTACCTTAATTTTTAAGCTCTGTGAACTAGGGTAAATCTGTCGATTTCCCCGAGTCACAGCAGCCTTTTAATTACACACAGGAGACATTAGGACTTTTCCTCCAGACCTTCCCAGGGGTGATGTGAGTCCTCATGAGGGCAAGGGTACCAAAGTGCTTTGTGACCCTGAGGGATATCAATGTAAACTGTACTCAGGAAGACTTTCTAGGAGCTAGCATAAAGGGAGACTCTGGAATAGTCCTTCCCAGCGCTTACCCAGCCTATTTCCCAGCATAAGAACAAAACAGTGTGTCTTTATGCCCATGGGATGCTGAATATAAGGAACTGAGGTTTTTAATTTTTATCGTTTATTATTTTATGTGCACCACTGTTTATTGGGCATGTATGTCTATTCACCATGTGCATGCCTGGTGCCTATGGAAGCCAGAAGCAGGCATCAGATCCCTGGAACTAGGTTCACAGGCCATTGTGAGCTGCCTAATGGGCATGGGTGCTGGAGACTGAACCCAGGCCTCAGCCACTGAGCCATCTCTTCGGGCCCAGGAACTGAGTTCTGTAACTCCTCTTTGTAACCCCTGGCTGATTATGACAGTGGAAGTGAAACGTAAGTCACTCACACATGCAGGTACATTTGAAGGCCTGGTGACCTTGAAGTCCCCCAGGGTAGAGGATGAGAGAAAGAGAGGAAGAGAGACAAAGGACTAGCCACATACTCTAGGTCTCTCAGTTTAACCCAGCCAAAGTCTTTCTCAGGTGTTTGCACAGAATCAGACTTAAGGAAGGACTTCCCCAAACAGATAGCTGTTTAAGTCTTGAAGAGAAGCCTGAGGAACTAAGGGCGCCCCTAGATGTCTTCAGAACCCACAAGGGGGGGCAAATGAATACATCAGGCAGCACACCAGGGTGTGCGTGCCAGGTAAGTTATCTGGAATTATTCTTTCTTGTGGTTCCGCTCTGTTTTCCAAGTAACTTTGCTCTCTGTGGTGATATTTTGTTTGTGTTCTAACAAATAAAACTTGCCTGGAGATCAGAGGGTGGAGCTAGCCACTAGTTAACCATAGAGGCCAGACAGTGGTGACTCACACCTTTAATCCTAGCACTTGGGAAGAAGCAGCAGGAAGATCAGGAGTTCAAGGCCACCCTGGGCTACACAAGCTTGAAACAGTCTAAAAGAGAAACAGAGCCAAGTGGTGGAGGCACACACCTTTAATCCCAGCCCTAGGGAGGTGGAGACAGGAAGTGGTGATACAGCTGGACCGAGAGAGGAATACAGGAGCTCAGCCCCTTTTCCAGCCCCTTTTCCAGAGGGGTTGGTGAGGTAAGAAGTAGCTGTGGCTTGCGCCTTTACTTCTTCGATCTTTCAGCACTTATCCCTATATCTGGCTCCAGCTTTTTATTATTAAGATCAATTAGAATTCATGCTACAGTTCTCTGTCCCTGTTACTCAGTGTACACATTGTTGGCCTTGGCAAAGTGTGAGGTGGGGGAAGAAATGAATAAAGAAGAGGTAGTCAGGGAACTGTGGAGATGTCTTGACGAACAAAGAGCTTGCCACACAAGTGTGCAGACTGGAGTTCAGAACCCAGGTGAAAGCCCGTGTGGAGGCTGGTTATAATCCCAGCACTCCAGAGGCAGAGACATGATGACATCCCCAACGGCGAGCTGGATAGCCATACTGACTGGAATTGGCAAGCTTCAGGTTCAGTGAGAGCCTCTGCCTCAAAAAATAAAGTAGAGATTGACTGAGGAAGACACCCAGTGTCAACTTGGGGCCTCTGTATGTCTATACACACACACGTGCGTATGCACAAACACACACACACACACACACACACACACACACACACACACACACACACAAGCAAACCCATACAATAGAACGCACACATGCACAAGTTACACATAAATTAAGTAACCAGGTTGTAACAGCAGCTATTTCCCCCGGTCACATTTCCTAGCCCCACTGGCAAACCTTGGTCTCCCCCATCCGCTCTCCTGGCCTCCATTCTCCTCAGGCACACTTTACAGGAGGCACAGAGTGAGCTGAGAACTTGGTCTTCATTTCCAGACGCAGGTTGGCAATAGGGCTTCTGAGTCCTCATCCCAAGGAGGGGGTGCACAGCAGGATTCCGCTCTTCTTGGAGCCCCTGCCACCTCTGCCCCAGTTTGGGTGGCACTCGAGAGTTCAGATGTCGTAAACCTGGTGAGATTACAGGTGGACCCAGAAGGACTGTTACTGCTGTGATAAAACACAGGTAACACCGTGAACCCTGCCCTCAGCCCATCGACAGCAAGTACAGCAGCGTGGTGTCCTGCCGTCACCCCTGTCTCCAGAACCATTGACACTCTGCTCCTCACCCCCTCCACACTCTACTTCTGTCTCTGGGGATCTGATGACTCCAGGTGTGTCCTCCTGGAAGTGGAGTTCTACAGTGGCTGTCTCTTTGCATCCATTTTATTTCAATTAGCATGCTGTACTCAAGATCCACCCCTGTCACAGCCAAGGTCAGGACCTTCCTTTTTTTTAAGGCTATATGGTCTTCCACTGTCTGCACAGACAATGTTTTCTTTATTATGTCTCTTGGGGACGTGGGTTATTACTTCCATCACACACTTCACTCTGATCGCTTGTATCCATTCAGATGACAGACTGTGGAATCTAAGGTCTATGTGAATTTTGAGTGAAGCCTCGAGGCAGGAGGATGATGTACAACACACGATGGATTTTGTTCCGTACTAAAAAAGATGTTTCAATATTATACTTAAGGTAGAGAATTTGGAAAATGTAGAAAAGTGTCAATTAGTTATCAACGCCTCTAACCCTGGCGCCTGGAAGACAATGGGCCAGGCACACAGAAGAAAGAAAGATGAAGAGATAAAAGAGCATGCTGGTCCTCATCACTCTCCCTGAGGGTGAAGGAGCCGGGCTTGGGGAAGCAGGCCCAGCACTCCAGAGGTGGCTGAGGATGGTGCCATGTGCAAGGGCTGCTTCCCCGTCAGGGATGCTGTTCTGGAAGTGTTTGCCAGAGCTGACACCTTTGGGAAATCGCTAGCCTTTTCTACCTGCTCCCTGGGACATTTGGGGAGGGCTTAGGACAAAGCCAGGCCCCTCTACAGGAACAAGATAGAGCCGGGAAAGGTGTGGTCATGCTGTGTGCAGGATAGCACTGGCATAAACATAACCAGTGACTGGGGCAGCGTCCTCCCAAGGGAACAGGGGATAAACGAAAATGTCAAAATGTTTCAGGTATTTTTTTCCAAGATCATAATGTGATCACATCATTTCTGCTTTCTCTTTCCTCACTCCAAACCGTCCCATGCACCTTCACCCCTTGCTCTTTTTCAAATTCATGGCCTCTTCTTAAAAAACTTGTTGACATATATACATTCCTACATACATTAATGAAACCTACTTAGTCTGTATAATCCTGCTCATATGTATAAGGGCTGACCATTTGGCATCAGATAACTAATCGGTGTGCCCTTCCCTGGGGAAGACTATTTCTCTAGCTCTCAACATTCCTTACTTGTCTGTAGTTCTTTGGGTAGGGCTGAGACTTTTGAGCCTTCCCTCACCCATGTTAGCATGTCTATTGTTGCTGTCCTTGTTCAACTCATGTTTAGGCAGTCATGTTGGTGAGACTTCGTGGGTGTAGCTTCTGACATTTCTAGGAGACACGATCTCACCACAAACCCCTATTCTTAGGACTCTTACAATCTTCCCACCGGGTTTCACAATGATCTGGAGCGTTAGGTGCAGGAGATAGTTACAAATGTATCAGCTAGGACCAGATGGTCTCTCTATGTCTCAAAGAGAAGTTTCCTTGATGAGGTGTGAGGACCACGCTTGTGGGCTAGACCCTGGAGGAAGACTGCAGAATCTGACTGGGTGAAGAGGTTGGACGCGGTGGGGGAGGGGCCTGTGGGTCAGGTGCCAAAAATCTCAATTTTCAATGAGTTGCTGAATTGAAACCTTTTGTGAAAATCGATGCAGGAAGAGCTTACTCCCAAGATACACCCTGGAGATGTCAATTATAGTAGTATTTCCTCCAAACTGCAGCATATTAATGCTCACCTGCTCACTCTTTCCCTACTTGGCACAGGCACTTTGTACTGCCACTGGGTCACAGGGCATTCATCCTCCAGCAGCAGCCCAAATGCCTGGCCCTTCTCTTCAGGGTTGGGAGTTCACATATGGACACCTATGACCCCACTGGACCGTGTACTTGTTCTGGGAGGTTACAGCTTGTCCTACAGATAAGCTGAACCGCCAGTGGTGTTAGGGACATGGCCAGGACTCAAAACCATGTTTGCAGACTCTGGATGGGGTCAGGAGCACAATGCAGGGTGACGATGATGGTGTGGAGGAGAGACGGCAGCTTGCTGGTGATGCTAGCCTCTCTGCTGGTTGTTTGGGACGGGGACAAGACAGACCAGTGTAGCTTGAGTTTTCCTGCCTGGCCCACAGTTAGGACAAATCTCTATCACCTGCCACATTTGCCATACAGAACATTCCACAGCACTTCCCCCCCCCCCCCCCCCCGTTTTTTTTTTCAAAAAGAAAGATTTTAACCTTAGCAAAGTAAAATTACATATAATTTGGGAATTTGGGCGTAGCTTCTCTTACTACTTCCTGCTGGAGGAGGGGTGCTGTATCTTATGGGGACACAAAGAAAATTTTAGGATTATGGAATAGTCCATGAGGCTGTATTGACTGAGCCAGTTGCCTTCAAACCGTTCTGGATGTTGGATCATCTGGGCCTTGGTGTCATCGGAGACCTTTCAGGTGGTCTTGGCTGGTCAAACCTGATGTATCTTAATCTAGAACAAATCCATAGCCTCTGGCTTTCTGTGGGAACAAAAGCAGAGACTCTTTTCCAAAGCAACATATCCTTATATCCAAATTTTGAAGTCAAGGTACCTTTAAAATATACATTTTGGCATAACTCAACAGTTTTTACAATCAAATGTTTTTCTGCAGTTAAAAATCCCAAAGACAACACAATCCAGATTCTCTGTGTAATATTCATCTTTACGTGGCTTATTTTTTATATTAATTTTATTGTCTCTTTAAAGACTTTATTTTTTAAAACTATGTATTTGTTTATATAACTGTATATATCACCTTTTTTGTCTCTTTCAAGCCTATGTATATTTTACACACTTTGTAAACTATTACATCTGAATCTGTCTTATTGTGAATCTATTGCTTTAAACTGCAGCAGCTGTGGCTGCTGGCTCCACCCACCTCAGTTTCCCAACATGGCCATGGTACTTTACCGCCGGCTCTCGGAGCTATTGTGGGTCTATGCTTTTATCCAAGCAGCGTGTAGCCCAGAAACCTCTTTTTTTGTTTTGTACTAGCAAAGGCTAAATCCACCATGCAGCTTAATGTGCCACTTGCAGAGGCCTCATTCCCGCCATACTGCAGGTCGAGCGCACACTCCAGGAACCCACCAGTAGCTCAAAACGGCAGCTGCCGCTCATTTGAGAGAGACAATTAGGAACCGTTTTCAGCTCCGTTTTAGAATCTTTTTTCTCAGGTTTTAGGTGGAAACTCTTGCCACCACGTTGGACGCCATTTGTAGCTTGAGTTTTCCTGCCTGGCCCACAGTTAGGACAAATCTCTATCACCTGCCAGTCCCACAGCCGCTCAGACCCGACCAAGTAAACACAGAGACTTATATTGATTACAAACTGTATGGCCGTGGCAGGCTTCTTGCTAACTGTTCTTACAGCTTAAATTAATCCATTTCCATTAATCTATACCTTGCCACATGGCTTGTGGCTTACCGGCATCTTCACATGCTGTTTGTCATCATGGCGGCTGGCAGTGTCTCTCTGACTCAGCCTTCCACTTCCCAGCTTTATTCTCCTCCTTGTCACGCCTATACTTCCTGCCTAGCCAATGGCCAATCAGTGTTTTATTTATTGACTAATCAGCAACACATTTGCCATACAGAAAATCCCACAACAGACCAGAGCATGAGGGCCAGAGAACAGTAGCTTCACAGTTCCATTGGTAACGATTCGGATTCCTATTCCTGCATGGATGTGGCTGCTTCTATGTTTAAAGCACTCTCTTACTCATGTTTTCTGAAGCCATGGTTAAGAACACACAATATAAAATTAACTATTAGGGGCATTCAGGGTTTTAAGAATGTTATACACCTGTCATCATTCCAAAACATTCCAGAATGTCCCAGTACATTCTCATCACTGTCAAAAGGAAACCCCGTGTCTGTGCTAACAGCCAGTATTCTATCTCTAGGCCATATACACGCAGCACCCCACATGAACATTTGCATATATAAACTGTGTGTGTGATGGTGCACATGTGTGTGGGTGCACATGTATGCACATATGTTTAGAGACCGAAGGACAGCCTCAGATGTTCTTCAGGCATTGTCACTTTTTATTGATTGATTGATTGATTGATTGATTGATTGATTTATTGATTGATTGAGGTAAGGTCTCTCATTGGGACCAGGGCTTGCTGACTAGGTTTGGCTGGGTGACCTGCAAGTCCCGGTGGTCACCTGTCTCTACCTCTCCTGTACTGGGATTACAAGTACATGCCCTTACATCCAGTGTTTTAAGACAGGTCTGGGGCTCGAACTCAGGTCCTTGTGCTTGCAAGGCAAGCATTTTACCAACTTAGCCATCTCCTCAACACCTGAATATATAAACTCTTAAAGGCAGTACTTAGTAACCATTGAGGTCATGTGATTGAGCACTACGCTATGTAAAATAACTCCAGCTCTCCCGTGTGAGACATTTTTTACCACTGTGAGTGTCTGTCTTTCTCAACCCCAGGACCTTCCTGCATCAGCTCCATGTCCACCATCCCATAGTCTACAGAGGATGGTCACATCTTACTAACCAAGAACATTTTTAAATAACAGCCTTTTGAAATATAATTCATCATTTGTAAAGCACAAGATTAGGTCAATTTTATTATATTTGCAGAATTATGCAACAACCACCTCTATGTCGTCCCAGAACCGTCTCCAAGTCCGTACCTCACCCCCAAAGACAGCCCGTTGATCATTGGCAGTCATTCCCACTCCCTTCCACTCACTCATCTGCATCAGGTTTCCAGATTCACCTGACCTGGAGTGCACCCACCAGCAGACTCCTGCACTGTGTGACCAGCTTCTTCCTCACAGCAAGTTTTTGAAGTTCATCCCGCCAATCACAAATGCCGTGTTCGCGCTTGATTCCTCCTCATGCCTGCACTGTATCCCATTGTTTAGATATGCCACCCTTTGCTCAATTGTCCATCGCTGGCGGGCATTTGGTTGCCTGCATCTTTGGGTCATTGTCACTAATAGCCACATTCTTCTGCTGACCACCATTTTCCAGTATGGTTATCCCCACTTCATAGAGGAAGAGTTGAGGCCGCTATAGAAGGAATGTAGTACCTTCCTCTGTGAAGGTCAGTCGTGTCCTAGCTTGTCAGCAATTGACTCTGGAAAAGAGGAGAAAGCTGCTCCCCCATGAAGCAAAGCAGCTAAGGTCCAGCACTCCAGGCAGGCCATTCCCTCAGGTTCCAAACCTTCATGGAGTATGAAAGACAAAGACACTACACGTCACATCTCTTGACTCTAAGAGTCCTTCCCTTGGCTTATTCAGTTGCAGGGGAGAGACAGAGCCTTGCAGAAGCCAGCTCCTAGGGGTTCAAGGGAGACCAGGACCCTCCGAAGCCATGACTCCCTCCCATCCTGCTCTCCAGTCCTGGATACGTCTCTGTTTCTGGTGTCTCCTTCCAATGTCAGCAGGTGAGTAGGGGCCACAACTATTACTAGGACTTCACCTTACTCCTGTACGCTCACAGACCACATGGTAGACTTTCCTGAAGACCAGCTCACTTCAAGACTACAGGGGGCATTCAAGGTCATTGGCTGCGTGGCCAGTACCACAGGGTGAAGACAAGGGGCTATCTTCTCTAGCTCTAGCAGCTTTGTTACCTTGAATGCCCCCAAAGCTTTTCAATACTCTTGTCTACAAAATGTAAACAGCATCATGGACCACTCAAGGTTACTATGGGGATGAAGGAAGCTTGCACCCAGCACACAGGCTGGGACAGGTATGTAGGGGCTGTGGTCATTGCCCTGCTTTCTGTCCCAGTGACTGCTGGGCCTTTTTTTTTTTCTAAGGTAGTTCATTGTCTGCTCAGGCAGCAGAGCCCCGGAATGGGGACGCTATTATGCAAAATCACAGTGGAAAAGACATGATAAATTCCAGCAGACAGTTTTGCAGAGCTTTTTGCCCAGCTGATGAGACCTGGTCAGAGATGGTGATTTAAGAACTCGGGGTGGTACCCTACATGGGAGAAGATGTTCTCATGGGCATCAGGAGCTTGTTAGAAGAGTGGATGAAAAGGGAAAAAATCTCACCATCAGCCAGCTCCCGGCAGTGGGTGAAGCCCCTCTCAGCCACCCCCGTACTGCTATCTCCCTTGGGGCTCTTTGGTTCTGGCTGAGACTTGTTTCTAGGTCTGAGCTTTCTTGCTCGGTTGTGGCAGCCCTCGCTCCCTGACTCTTTACTTGACATCAGGACGGCACTGCAAAGTGTGTGCTGCTTGTATGGTGTCCTCGGGGCTGTGTTAAGTGCTGGTGTGCCCTAACCTTCAGACTCGCCAATGGGCTTTGAGATGTACTTCCTGTTTGTATCCCCACACTGAGGCTACAGGATGGTGAGTGTCTCTGCTCTGGCGGGAGATGGAAAGAAAATCACAGGTTCACCTCCTTGGCCTCATGCAGACTCCTTTTCTCTTCTATCCCTATCCCACAGTGTTGGCCCAGCGAGGCTCGCACACTCAGGCTGAGGACCGCCTGTTCAAACACCTGTTTGGAGGCTACAATCGCTGGGCACGGCCAGTGCCCAACACTTCAGATGTGGTCATCGTGCGCTTTGGACTATCCATTGCCCAGCTTATCGATGTGGTGGGTCTTCCCTTTCACCCTGTGCTCCCTTGATCAGCCCTCCAGCCCACCTGATTTTTCTCACGGTCCTCCCTGGATTCAGCTCGGCCCTTCTCCCACTAGCCCTCAAAGCCCACCCTGGCTACAGATTACAGCTACCTAGTTGGGTCGCCATGGTGCCTTCCTTCCCAAGCCTTGGAGCCCCTAAGAGCATGCGTTGTCAAAAGATAGTTTTCTAAAACACATGTCCAAAGTCCCCCTTCATGTCCTGGGTGACCCTGAGGAATCTGAGTGCTAGTGACTGAGTCAGGAGAGGTGTCTGGGCTTGGGTGTCCTGTGAGTGGGTCCCAAAAGTGCCTCCTAGGCACTCCGTGTTCTGGGCTGGTGTGTCAGTCACCCCCACTGCTGTTACTCTCTGTCTCTGCTACCCCAGGACGAGAAGAATCAGATGATGACCACCAATGTCTGGCTGAAGCAGGTAAGCCTTCCCTTGCAGGATCCGACAGGCATGGCCCCCAGTCCCCAGCCCCTTCTAGGACCTCACTGTCGAGGGACCACAGAGCTGCAAGATGCTGAATGCATGGGTCATGATCAGTAGTCACTTAAGGTGTGAGGTAAGGCAGGTTGCTCTCCTCGGGGGCTAAGCTTGTGTGACCATGCTCTTACCCCACTGTCACCCATAGCACCAAAGGATCCATTGCTTGAAGAAAGCATTTCATAGTCCCAGGTCCTGCAGGACAGCTCACAGTACAGCTTGCTGAGTCATTGCCCCCTACCTCACAGAGCAAGGGGGCACCCAGATGTGCCCAGCTCCAAGACCCATCTCCTTCTATGTGTGGCTCAAAGCCTGTGCTGCCTGACAAAGGAGCCCAGAGCTCACAGGAATAAAGCAACGACCCATTTACCACTTCACATGCATTTGTGACCTAGTGCTCAGATGGCTGTCTCTGCTTTGAATGGTGACCAAGGTACTTGGTGGCACCTGGCCAGTTGTGGTTAGTCTGTTGCTGTCTAAAATGGTTTTCCTTACATGCCCGGCCCGTAGAGGGGTGTTTGGAAAGCTCTGAAAGATTCTGAAAGGTTGGGCTCCTAGCTCCTTCCATGCACACCCTCAGGTTCCTTCCCTAGTGTCTCTGACAGGAGAATTAATGGATTCTCAGTTGGTGGTTCAAGTCTCCCGTAGTGAAGGTCCCAAGAGACAGAAAGTAGAAGCTGATGGTCATGTATGGACCTAAAGTGGTCCAGCCTCAATCTTAAGGAATTCTACAGGCGCAGTCAGTAAATGAGCTGGAGACAGGAGGAGACAAAGATACCATCTCTCCATGGAAACAGAACTGAAGAGTTTGTGGAGCTCTGGGGTGGGCTGCGGTTGGGCAGGCTCAGGAACTAAGGCCTGAGCAGAGTGGGAATCTTACCTTACCCCTCCTGTCTGCCCAGCTAAACCCAAGGAGTTCAAGTGGAGATGACAGAAGACCATGGGATGGGAAGCTAGCCCTTGCCCTCAGCTTATTACTCTGGTCCCATGGGTACCTGGCTGGTCCTGTCTCAGAGGCTAGCATGCAGAAAGCCACAAGAACCAAGATGATGGCATCTCTGAGTTATTCAAATAGATCTCTTGCTCACTGTGGCTGGCTTGTGATAGCTGGGTCCTGGATGGTGTCTGGCTGTGTGATAGCTACTTCGAAGTTAGACGCTTGAGTCAGAGGTTGCTCTGAGACAATTGCTTCTGACACTGTTCACCCCTGAGGCATTGGAGGTTCTGAGCCACATCTCTACAGATGAACCAATGGGAACTGGAGTAAGGAAGAAGCCTTGAAAGGCATACAGTCATGTCATGGAAGGGGGCAGATCTAGAACCTGGGTCACCACAATGGTCCTGGTCACCTGTGCCAGGGCTTGGGTAGGAGTAGAGGAAAGAGCACTGTGATGGAGCCAGGCCCTCCACAGCTGCCTGGGACGAGCCTGAGATGCTGGAGAATTATTAACCCTCTGGGAGCCTCACTTTCCCCATCTGTAAAGTAGGCAACTCATCTATCATATGCCTATGACATTCAGATGTCCCCATTTGATGTCAGTGTTCCCAAATGTTGTATGAACCTGAAATCCTGAAAGATGACCTAGACAGAGAGAGTCCGAACTCTGTTTTGGGGACTGAAGGGTATAGCTTAGTTTGGTACAGTGCCTGCCTGGGAAGCCCTGGGTTCAGTTCCCCGGTACCACATAAGTTGGGTGTGGTAGTTCATGCATGCAATCCTGGTGCTTGGGAGGTGGAGGCCGAGGAGCTGAAGTTCAAGGTCATTTTACTGTCATAGCAAGTTGGAGACAATTCGGCTACATAAAACCCCATTAAACAAAACAAACAACAACAAAACAAACCAAATCTGTTTTTAAAGCCTACTTGGGCCTGTTGTGGTGGAAGCGTAGTTGGGACCTACAGCATTCTTTTCCTGCCAGGACCCCTGGATAGGGGGGTCTCCGGAGCATAGTTTGAAGGTCACAGCTCCTGGCTTCACTCTCTAGCCCTGGCAGGCCCTACACTGAAAGTGAGTGATGCACAACACATTTGAGTGTCAGAACAAGGGCCAGAGGCAGGGCTAGAGTGGTGTGTGCCGGTGCTGGCCTCCTGGGATTTTGGTTACTAACGACGTCAGAGCCAAACAGGCTGGCAATCGGAGATGGTACCCATGTCAGAGCCTTTTTCTCGCATCACGGTCCCTTCTAATTCTGTGGGGTTAGGGGAGGGACTTGGGGACCTCTGAGTCCCACAGCTCATCTCAGAGCATCTTGAGGTTCCCAGTGCAGCAGTGCCCTGATATGACCACTCTCCTGAGCAGGAGTGGAATGACTACAAACTGCGCTGGGACCCAGCTGAGTTTGGCAACATCACCTCCCTCCGGGTCCCTTCAGAGATGATCTGGATTCCAGACATTGTCCTCTACAACAAGTAAGAAGCCATTTGTTAATTCAAACATATCCCAGGAGTGGGGAGATGGCTCAGAGAGTAAGAGCCCTTGCTGTGGAAGCAACATCTGAGTTTGAATCCTCAGCAGCCACATGAAAGCTGGGAATGTGTGTGGGTAGTGGTGGTGGTGTGTGCGTGTGTCAGAGAGAGAGAGAGAGAGAGAGAGAGAGAGAGAGAGAGAGAGAGAGAGAGAGAGAGACTTTAGCACTGGGGGCAGGGGAGACAAGTGGATCCTAGAGGCTCACTGGCCAGTCAGTTTAGCCAAAATGGAAATCCTAAGATCCTTGAGATCCTGTCTCAAGAAATAAAATGGGCTGGGCAGTGGTGACACATGCCTTTAATTCCAGCACTCAGGAGGCAGAGGCAGGCAGATCTCTGAGTTCAAGGCCAGCCTGGTCTACAGAGTGAGTTCCAAGATAGCGCTGGGGTTATACAGAGAAACCCTGTCTCAAAGAATGAAAACAAAAAACCCAAACAAAAAAGGATGGAGCGTGATCAAGGAAAGAAGGAAAGACACTTGACGTCAACCTCAGGCCTATACACACTCAAATATGTACCAGCACCCCCCACTTAAGTGCATACTGCACACATACACACATACATGTGCACCAGCACCCACACATGTACATAACACGCACACACACACACACACACATACACTACACACACATACACCACACACACACACACACACACACACACACACACACACACACACACACACACACAATTTCTCATGAAAGAAACTAAAACTTGGTTCTTTCGTTTTTGCTTGGGTAAGGCTTCACTGAGAAACCCAGAGGTTAATGCTTAAATGATGGCGGTGTTTCCTGCTGATCACTTTGTAAAGCAGGTCTCTGGGGCACACGGCTACTTTCTTGAGATACGAATAGGCATGGAAAGTTCTTGGTGGGTGGGTGGGGTCACATAATTTTGGATAGTATAATCAACCCCCGACAGTCTAACCCTCAAGCAGCTGCTGTTTGCCTGTGCGTCAGGCGTCACACCACCCCAGTCCCCACACCCCATCTCTGTGCCCTGAGCTGGCACCTAGGATCCTTCCAGTTTCTGCTTCTGTGTGATGAAGATCAGGAGCAAAGTCCCAGAAGCAGATACATCTGAGTTTTAAGATTGCCAGTAAGGGGTTGGTCACTGATCCCTGATTGCAACACCAAGTCCTTCTGATAGAACGAAGGTTAGTCCAAACTGCTGCAGGCATTTAAAGCGTGTGCCCCACATACACTCCTCCGGGTTAATAGGCAAAAGGTCGACGCAATCACATGGTCTCTTGCCCCAAATGGGAGCCTGTTGCCATCTAGTGGTAAAATGGCCCAAATGATCATGACTGGTTTAATGCAGGAATTAGAGATGGAGTTTAAAGACTAGACTATATTCCCACCCAGGGGGACTCAGACTCCAGTCCTGCCTGCCAGTCTCTTCCTGCAAGCCCCTCTGCTTTATGCCCTTGTCTCATGTCCCAGTTAAATCCTACTGCCATTGACAAGTCAAGGTCTAGTTAAACGAGAGCCTTCACAGCAGCCTTGTTCAGTCCAGACAGAAGTCAGTCCCTCCAGGTCTCAAGAGCATTCCAAATGCCCTATGGTATGAGGATATCATGTGAATCCATCTCATTTCCATGTAGTTCCCCAAGGAACTTACACCATGCAGGTACAGGCCCTCGTAGATGAAACTGGCCCCCAATACTGTGCTGAATGCACAGGCTGCAAGGAGTTTCCCCACCAGCCAAAACGTTAGGTCTCTGGAAAAAAACAAAAGATCTGGGTGCAAAAGCCAGGATCCTCCCCTTCTGGAGCTGACTTCCTACTCGCTAGCGAGGGAAAACACAGGTGTGGGGGAGCACACCTGTAATCCCAGAATGCAGGATACGGAGGCAGGAAGATCACAAGTTCAAATCCAGCCAGCAAATTGTGGACTAGGCTGTGCTACTTAGTGAGACCAACCCTCGACCCCCGCGCAAAAAAAAAAAACAAAAAACAAAAACAAACAAACAAACAAACAAACAAAAAACCTCCAACATGCTAAATGGATAAAAGTAGGGGATCAGACTACAAATGTCCCATGATTCAAAATATGTAAAATTGAAGTACAGTCTTTATGACATCCAGATATGTAAGCATAATGCCGAAACAGCAATAATGGCTATTGTTTAGTTCTTTAAAATTTTTTACTTCTGCAATTGAAACAATGGTATTTGAAAAGACAACTCAGGATACATTTGTCTGCAGCAGAGATTCACACACTTCGTGAATAGTCCTACTTAGCTAATCAATGGCTGACTTTGTTTACCCAGTTGCCCTGCTGCCGGTTTCCTGGAGGAAGCAGGTATGCAGGACCCCAGCTTATCTCCTCTCCCTAGTGCAGACGGGGAGTTTGCTGTGACCCACATGACCAAGGCCCACGTCTTCTTCACGGGCACTGTGCACTGGGTGCCCCCGGCCATCTACAAGAGCTCCTGCAGCATCGACGTGACCTTCTTCCCCTTCGACCAGCAGAACTGTAAGATGAAGTTTGGCTCCTGGACCTATGACAAGGCCAAGATCGACCTGGAGCAGATGGAGCAGATGGTGGACCTGAAGGACTACTGGGAAAGCGGCGAGTGGGCCATTATCAACGCCACCGGGACCTATAACAGCAAGAAGTATGACTGCTGTGTGGAGATCTACCCCGACGTCACCTACTACTTTGTTATCCGCCGGCTGCCGCTCTTCTACACCATCAACCTCATTATCCCGTGCCTGCTCATCTCCTGCCTCACGGTGCTGGTCTTCTACCTGCCCTCCGAGTGCGGAGAGAAGATCACACTCTGCATCTCGGTGCTGCTCTCCCTCACCGTCTTCCTGCTCCTCATCACAGAGATCATCCCGTCCACCTCGCTGGTCATCCCACTCATCGGCGAGTACCTGCTCTTCACCATGATCTTCGTCACCCTCTCCATCGTCATCACGGTCTTCGTGCTCAATGTACACCACCGCTCCCCCAGCACCCACAACATGCCCGCGTGGGTGAGGGTGGCCCTGCTAGGCCGGGTGCCTCGCTGGCTGATGATGAACCGGCCCCTGCCACCTGTGGAGCTCCATGGCTCTCCAGGTCTGAAGCTCAATCCTACTTATCACTGGCTGGAGACCAACACAGATGCTGAAGAAAGGGAGGAGACAGAGGAAGAGGAGGAGGATGAAGATATATGTATGTGTGGAGGCCTCCCAGACCCCTCCGTGGGTGTCCTCTATGGTCATGGCAGCCTGCATCTGAGGGCCCTGGGACCTGAGGCCAAGGCTCCATCACAGGATAGCGAGTTCATGCTGTCACCTCAGATACAGAAAGCACTAGAAGATGTACACTACATTGCTGACCACCTGAGGTCTGAGGATGCTGACTCTTCGGTGAGTTGGGCTGAGGGAGGGGTCCCTCCGTGGGTGACTCTGCCAGCTTAGTAAGGAACACTGCCACCCCAGGGCGTCAGCTTGGATAACCCTTCCCTTCCTGTAAGGACCAGTGTCTCTCAGTCATATCTGTGGAGTCTGGACCCTATCACAAGAGAGGCACTCTAGCTGGAGGTTATTTGGTCACTTCCTGGCTGATGGCAGAATACCATAGGGCCTGTCACCCTCTGCTCCACCTAACGGGAGAGAGCAGTTAGAGGCTTCAGAGCTCAGATGCCGGTCTCCCTCTGCATGGCTCTTGCTGGCCAGCCTTTCTCGGGGGGAGGTGGGGGCAGGCAAGGGAGTGAGGGAATGTTGTCTACAGAGACAGAAGCCAAGTACAAGTGGCCTCAGTGCGTCACTGGCCTCCACACTCCCCTGTGGCAGAAGAACTCCTCCATCTGGACTCTGAGCATTGTGTGACCTTTCCCTATTCACTCCTAAGCCCCGCAGACTCTGAACAGCATTGGACTGAGGGTGGGCTGAATGAGGGTGGGCTCTCCTTTCCAATGCTGCTCATAGTACTTAGTGTTCAGAACCTGCTTTATCCCCTTACCAACCAAGGGAGGGATGAAAGGCCTGAGGTCACTATGGGGTGACCTGATTGAGTGATGAGAACATTATCACTCACTTGTAAATATCTAAGAATTTAGATCCTCTGCTATGAGTGGAAGAGCCGCAGAGACCCAGCTCTTCCACGCTGACCTACCCTGGGCCACAAACTGCCTCTTTCTGCCCCCTGCAGGTGGGTGGGGAGGTAGTACAGCATTTGGCAGCTACGTAGCTGCTGTGAGTTACATTTAAATTCTTCTGATTTGGAGGGCCCATACCCTCTTGGTGGCCCTAGCACCTCCTCGTATCCCTCTGGTCTCCTACACCTGGGAGCACATGGACATAGGGAAAGATAGAATGGGACTCCCAGGGATGTGTCAGCCCTGAGCTAAGCCTGTTTTCTCCCTACACCCATCTCTATGCCTAGGATAACCTCAGCTTCCCAAGCCTTCTGTATGGCTGGTGACTGCTGCCTCCATGGGGCTGGACATGGGAAGGACACTTCTTCCCAAAGCCTGGCTTTTGTTACCATAAGCCTGATTTTAATTTCAGGTGAAGGAAGACTGGAAGTATGTGGCCATGGTGGTAGATCGGATATTCCTCTGGCTGTTCGTTATCGTCTGCTTCCTGGGGACCATTGGGCTCTTCCTTCCTCCATTCTTGGCTGGAATGATCTGATTTTATGTCCTCTATGTTGGCTCCAAGGTGGCCTTGACAACCATCTTCTGGTCTTCTCTAACTGGAACCATCTCTAGGATGTTCTTTTGGGTCAATACCATCTGTCAGCTGTGTTCCTATGAGGCTCCCAAACTAGTCTGGACTTCAAATCCTCTTTGGAACAGCTCACAGTGACATTGTTGTGGCAAGTGCTGAGACCACTCAACACGATCCCTGTTTAGGGATGCTGAGGAACTAGAAAGGGTGAAGGCATTTCCTCTGCAGAAGGTGACGATATGAAAGTGACTTGAGGGAGAACAAGATATTCCTGAGAGAGCGATAGGAACTGTATATGAACCAACGCATCGAACAAAGGGATGGAGGGGTCAGACCAGGGCAAAGAGAAATGGAACAGCGCCCCAAAGATGGGGGCGTGGGGACAAAGGGAGCACCTGGTGCGGGAGAGCTCTCAACAGCACTTTGGATTCAGTGTCAGAGAGGACAACTTGGGATGGGGAGCCTGGGAAGGCAGGTTGGGGTATCTTTAATCCGGACCCAGGACGAAGTTCAGAGTCTTCTCGGAACCTGTCTCTGTGTGTTTTGTGAGGCAATATCAGTGGCACAAGGCTATTTCCAGAAGGAGTGAGGCACAAAAGTTCTCAACCTGAAGGTCTCGATCCCTTTCACTTATCAGATATTCTGCATATCAGGTGTTTATATTATGATTCCTAACAATAACAAAATTACAGTTATGAAGTAGCAATGAAACAATTTTATGGTTGTGGAGGGGGTCACCACAACATAAGGAACTATATTAAAGGGTCGCAGCATTAGGAAGGTTGAGAACCACTCGTCTAGATGTCCTGGTGGATGATTGGGGCAGAGGGATGGCATGGAGTTGGGTGGAGACAGCTGCTTGGGCCATTGTTCATCTGAAAGCTCCTTTGAGCCCCCAGGCTACCCTCAGCAGCATGTCTCACTGTTCTGTGCGGCAAAGAGGTCCAGTAATTGTTGCCAGGGGTCAGGGCCACTTTCATCAGTGGACATCACATCATCATCAGTGGACACACAAAGAAGGCAATCCGCATGGTTGGTACCCCTCTTGTCACTCACAGGCCCTGGTCCCGATTCCCTGCTCTGTCAGCATGCTTTGCAAAGGAACTGAGAACTTCGCTTCAAGCTCTTTAGATTACGTCCTTCAGGGCAGGGTCTCGGCTTTTGCATTCTCTCCAGCCCAGCCCCATGCTGGGGGACGGAACTCAGCACCTGGACCGTTCGTTCACTCTGAGTAGTGGAAAGAAATGAACAGGGTTGCTCTGGGCTCCAGAACTGTTGTGCAACATCACATCTTCAGGGAGCTTTCTTCCCCACCCTTCCCACAGTCCCATCAGGTGGCTAACCTGCTCTGAGCTGTTCTGTGCAGCATGTTCTTGCATTTGTAGTATTACAAGACCCTCCACTGCATAGGAGCCCAGGAGATCAGGCCTCTCAGAACATCATTCAGTCCCTGAGGAGCCAGACCTCAGAAACTAATAGCAATAGCAATCCAGATTGCTAAAAGATATGGAGACCAAGGCAGGAAGCAGAGCAGGGCAAGCTCCTGGCTTCGCTGTCTTAGGGTGCTCTCTTTCTGAAGCCCACACATGGCTCCTTGACACACCTAGGGGAAGCCTGCTTCCCAAAGGCCTCACCTGGACACCCTGCTATCAGTTCCCATGAGTCCGCACTCAGTCACCAATCAATTCAGGTCTTGGCTCCTCCTTCCTCCAGTGAACACAGCCTGCAGCCTCCCCTCCCTTCCAAGCCCTCAGACGTGCTCTCCTGATGGGGAGATGCTCGTCGCGTGCTCGCCCACATCCCATCCTCCTTGCATGTGAGTGAAATGGTGAAATAAAGCTGAGATGGCTGTTCTCAAAAGCGTCGTGCCTTCCTGCCAGCCACCTCAGCTGTCACTGGCATCACCCGGTCCCCTCCAGAGTCAGGGTGGTTTGGGGACACTCAGGGGAGGAATGTCCCACAGAGGGAACTACACCATGTCTTCCTGGAAAAGCTCCTTTGGGATGAGGTACCACTACTGCCTACATGGGGCCAAGGGCAGGAGGCCACCCCACCCTCCTCACGGGCTGGGGCTCCAGGTCAGCTTCCTCCCACAGAGAGCGGATCAAATAAACGATACAGTCAAGCTAACCACAAAGCAAATGGTAACGATTTTAATTCAACCACAGATCAAAAAGAAGGGCGGGAAATGAACGTTCTCCACAAACACGTGAGGGAGGAAAGGAGCAGATGTGAAAAGGGGGAAGAGAAAAAGAGGAGTAAGAAAAGAGGGGAGAAGAGAAGAGGGAGAAGAGAAATGCAGGAAGGGCGCCAAGTCCCGTTCTGACCTCCGACTCTCTACTTCTTCCCCGTGGCGCTGGGTTTGATAAAAACACAGAGCCCTGTGGACAGAGTGGTTTGTTCCTGGACTACGGCCCACGGCTGTCCATCCAGGCCAAACTCACATTAAATAAATTCCAATGTACACTGTACAAGAGAGCCAGGCCCAGCCCTCATCTCACCGGCCTCTCTACAAGTAAAGCCCCTCTCTGTCCCCTCTGTATCAGGGGTCTCCTGAGGGGTAAAGAGGAAGAGGAACACTGGCCCTCAAATGTCCATGCAGAAAGCCATCCTGGCTGGTCGGGGTACAACTGTGACCCCAATGATACTCCAGCACACAGGCTGGGGTAGGAGGGAGTGGCTGGCGGTGGTACCCCTACGAACTATCTCACCCCACCCTGTGTCTGTGCCCAGAGACGTCTCTGTCCAGAAGCAGCCAGAGCAGCACAGTCTGGGGTGGGGTGGGGAGGGGGGAGTCGTGCAAAGTGGTGAGGGGAAGACTCTCCTCAGCCTTCCCTAGAAGACCAATAACCAAAGGCAAGGCAGGAAAGGTACGCCATGACAGGTTGGGGCAGAAGATGCAGGCAGGCAGCCCCTCCCCTGAGATCACTCTGCAGGTGGGCGGGCCAGATTGGCCAGAACCTTGGCTTGGTCCACGGCATCCAGCAGGTTCTTGGCATCCACGGCCAGGGTGTGGGAAGCGGTGAGCATCTGCCGCTTGCAGTCCTCACTCAGGGATGTTACGGCGTTCTGCTGAGCCAGCCTCATCTTGTTGATGAGCTCTGCCAGGTCTTTGTTGAGAAGTTTCTGGGTTCCTTCAATCTGGTGGGCAAGCACACAGGAGAGGCTGAATGAGTGATGCGTTGGCTAAGACATCTGGGGGCTGATTACTCCAAGCATGGGCTGAATCCTGAATCCACCCCTCTGCACAGGCTGGAGTTGGTCTACAAAGATCTGGGATACAATAGGCACCCTAGACCCTAGTCAATCAGGTGCCAGCCCTGCCAGACTGAACCGGATAGTTCCCTCCTTCACAGCGGCAATCCCTGCACGCTGGTCAGAGGTCAAACACAGTCACCTGCTTTGATGGATAATCTTGATTGTCAAACGGATGGCATTTAAAGTGACAATGGGATCACAGCCCTGGGCGCATCTGTTTCTGGGAGTTTCTGAACAGGATTAACCTAGGTGGGGAGACCCACCCTAATGAGGTGGTGCCATTCCACGGGCTGAGGTCTTGGAATGAATAAATAGGAGACAGTGAGCATCACCAGCATTTACCATTTTCCGTCTTCCCAACGGTAGATGCAACGTGAACAGTCACCTCACACTGCTTCACCATGCCTTCCCTACCATGATGAGCCAGAGAACCCTTTCCTTCCTTCAGGCATTTTCCTGGAGTATTTTGCCATAGCCATGAGAACATTAACCAAACACCTACGCTTTAACTGTCTGTTATCAAGTAAAGAGACCAGATCCCATATTTATTTATTTAACCACTGCATCACTAGTGCTTAGCATGATGAATGCACGGCACGAAAGCTATCTCCCTAACAAAATGAATGAATTGGTCATGCCAAACCCTCCCAACAGACCTGCACTGGGAAATTCACCCAGTGAGTTGTCCAGGTTCTCAGGAGCCATCTCAGCCCTCTGGTGGCACCTGCCCAGCTGGGACTCCTTACTAGGCCACTGTTGTCACTCAGAGGCTAGCCCGCCCTGCCCTTGCTCTGTTAAGCCTTGGGAAACCATGAGCAGGAGAAGTCACATGATAGGCTATGCCACATAGATGACCACTAGGTGTCAAGGCATCAATGCACTATATTTTTCTGGACAAGAAATCGATCCGTTTCCCATGGCTACAAGAACAATAGCAGCGCAAACTTTCCATGTTCATTACTGAACAGTCCTGGTGGTCAGAATTCTGAAAGGAATGTCTCATGGGAGGCTGAGGTCACCAAGAGAGCTACATTCCTGTGAGAGAGTTCAGGGGAGAGTCCCTTGCTTTTTCCAGCTCCGAGGCTACACCTCCCTCAGCTGTAGCCCCTTTCAGCAGGGGCATTCCTCTGACTTCAGCTGCGGTCCTCACAGTCCCTTGTCTCTCTGACTCTGACACCCTCCCCCGGGATACTCCATCATATCCTCTCCTTCTGGGGACCCTTACTTTTAACAGCTCAATAAAGTTCCTTTTGCCGTGTAAGACACTCTGCATGTGGGTCACCACTTTTGGGACATCACTCTGCCTGCCACAGGCATCATTCCATCAGAGAAGCAGGACTCACCCTCGACTTTAGCAGTAGTTCGCTATCTATGGCCTATCTACCTTAACCTAAGTGCACAGCGTCACTAGGTAAGGGATGGTGGGAGAGGAGGGAGGAAGGTGCGCTCCTCCTTGCAAACATCCATTGAGACTATTTGAGACCTGGACTGGGATTTTTCACTAAGTCCCAGAGCAGGCTCAGCCCTCCGGTGCTAACTGCTCTGATGCTCTGTGGAGATATCTGTTGGGAGAAATAAGGCTGCCCAGGTGGCCCCAGTGAGTCTCTGGTAGGAATTACAGGTGGGGACAGGAAGCGTGGTGACACTCACCTCTGTTCTAGAAGATGATGGTAAGGAGGGTAAGAGATCGTCCACACTGCCGATGAGCTTCCGCAGGTTCAGGCCCACATTCTAAGAGAGCAAGAGCAGGGCGGCTGTCTCACTTGCTTTCTGAGAAAGCTCCTCCTCCTGGGGCTGCACTCTGGGATGGCGTCTGCCCTCTGAGACTGCCTGGGTTGCACTCCCTAGAGTCCCCTTGTTCCTCTGGGGTCTGTGGGACTGGTCATTAGTGGGGCACAGTAGTTTTCCTTCCAGGGCTGGGCCAGTCCCTACCTCCCTGACCCACTCCCACCTTGTCAGTTACCTTTACCACCACGACATAGTCCTCAGGGGGCAGCTGGCTGAGCCTGTTCTTGAGCTCCAGCACGGCTTCCACCAGCGTCATGACATTGTGGTACACGGCGTCATCGGTCCTGTCCAGGTTGGCTGTGGGCTGAATGGACTGAAAGGGAGGAGTGGTTGGCCTGTGGCTCATGGGGAACCAGAAGGGCCTCTCTATCCCTACTATTCATTCCTGGGAATGCATAGACATCAACCAGTGAAAAGACCTCTTTTTTGCAACAACAGTCCCCCTTTCTGCTTCTGGGGTCATCTTCCTGCAATTAGGGGACCCAAACAGAATGCTGGTGTGTTAACAAAACATGCAGTCACATCAACTCAGTCTAAACATCATCTGGTCCACACTGTCTTAACATTTCTCAGGTGATCTTTGTGGGAAGCTGACATTGAGAATACACATTCTGGAATCAAGAAAACCAGGGAGAGTAGGATGCTAGAA